AAGCCTGGCTTTTTTTTTTTTTTTTACTTTAAAAAGAGCCGATTTAAGGTAAACAACTACAGAGGCCGAACACAGTGACTCATACCTGTAATCCCAGCACTTTGGAAGGTCGAGGTGAGAGGACAGCCTGAGCCCACGGGTTCGAGACCAGCTTGGGCAACTTGGCGAGACCTCATTCATCTCTACAATGCCTCAAAAAATTAGCTGGGTGTGGTGGCACACACCTGTGGTTCCAGCCACTTGGAAGGCTGAGGCAGGACTGCCTGAGCCCAGCAGGCTGAGGCTGTAGTAGCCATGATCATGCCACTGCATTCCAGCCTAGGTGACAGAGTGAGACTATGACTCAAAAAAAAAAAAAAAAAAAGGAAAGGAAAACAACTACATTAATAGCTGCGGCAACAGGCAGATACATATGCTGACAGTGTCGTATGAGGCTTGAGAGCCCCGATCCAAGTTGGTCCCATTTACTCCAGCTATAAAGGGGCCAAGGGAGGACGGTGACCTCTGTCTGGAGTCACACAGCAAATTGAGGAAAGAGATGTGATCCTAGGTTTCTGTATTTATGGCTGGAGGATGTCCTGGGACACAGTTCAACTCTCATCTATTACAGTGGTGTGATCATAGCTTACTACAGCCTCAACTTCCTGGGCTCAAGCAATCTTCCCACCTCAGCCTCCTGAGTACTTGGGACTACAGGCACCACAACACCCAGCTAAGTTTTAAAATTTTCTGTAGAGATGGGGGTCCTGCTGTTTCCCAGACTGGTCTCAAACTCCTGGTTTCAAGCTATCCTCCTGGCTTGGTCTTCCAAGTCACTGGGATTACAGGCAGAAGCCACGTGCCTATTCCCTTGACTAGCAATTGCAGCCTTCACAAACCCCGTATGAAAACTGCGGTGACACCTGACCCTTACCAAGCACTTCCTTTATGCCTACCTCCTCCTGACTACTTCAACTCATGTCCTCCTTCATTTGTTCCTCAAAACAACCCGGGGGATGGGGGGCAAGCAGAGCCATCATCTGTGCATTTCAGATGAAGCCCAAAGAGGTTAAATTGTGCAAGGCCACATAGCTCATACATGGCAGAGCTGGGATTTGAACCTGCGATCTGACCCCAAAGCCTCAACCCCTCTCAGCACCTCTCCTTCCTCAAAAGCATCAAGAGCACAGGCTAACCACACCCCAGAGCTGCAGTGGGTTCTCCAACCTTTCAACATCACTGGACAACTCGTTCACCATTAACCTCTTTTTTTCTTTCTGAATTAACCTTTCATTCTAGGCCACTCCTCCGAGCTGGACAGAGGGAGTGGCTGGCTGGCTGCTTTCATTGTGGGACTGACTGCTGGGGACTCGATCCCTCTTACAAAGCAATGTTTCAGCTTGCTATCTCTGCAGAGAAGCCACCTCACTCAGGATTTGGCCTCAGGAGAGAATGGCCCTCGAGTCTCATGGGCACTGGTGGGTGCTGCTGGGACATGGCAAAAGGGGCCCCTTTCCTGCAGTTCAGCCACCCACTTCCTGCTCCCCTGGGCAGCCAGGGCAAGGACTGGAATTGGCCTGTCGGGGCTAATTCTGGCTTGCCCTTCCTGGCTGTGTGACCTCAGGCAAGTCACCCACTCTCTCTGGGCCGGTCTCCTCATCTGGCCATGGGGATGATTCTCACGTCACTGGGCTGTTTGCGTCGGTCGTGTGTCTGGCAATCTTCAGCAACAAAAGGCAGCAGTGGCTGATGGCTCCTGTTCTCCCGTCTCTGCTGCTCCCAAAGAGATGCCGACACTGGCAGGTGAGCCTCAGGCTGGGGCCTTCTGGAAACAGCAACCTTCTCCTCCTGCGAGGACTCTGCCCCTTACAGTCCCGACCAATCCAAGTGGCTAAAGACACACATCACCAGACGTGACTTGTCCAGTGTCCCCACTGCCTGTTACAGGTTGTGTGGCAGGAGGGCCTCTGCCTCACCTCACAGACAAAGGCAAGGCGGGGTCTGGCCATCTCCTGGTGGCTAGAAGGGGAAAGGAGAAGCTGCCTGTCTCTGTATGGGCCTGTGTCTCTGAAGGAAGCTGGTGTCATGGAGAAACAACCCCTTCCTCGTGCCTGGCTCTGACTGACATGTGGCTTCTGAGCTGACCGGCAGCAGGTGTGCCCCAGCTGCTCGCTGCCCATGACCCCGTGAGGCCTACCCGAAGGGCAACGTCCACCTAGCGCCTTCATCCAAGTCTTGCCAAACCAAGAACCACCTGGACAATGATTTACTTAGTATTTTAAATCAATGCAAACTCCAAATTTTTGCATTTCTCAAACTCCAAATTTTTCAAGAGAACCTTTATGTCACCATCATGAATTTCTTAAAGTGTCATTTGTCATAAACAGAAGGCAATCTGAAAATGAAATGGGAGTGAAATCATCAGTTCTAGCTTGATACCCCTGGTCTGCAGAAGTCAGTCTGGAGCTGGTCACAAGGGAACAGGAGTGCCTGGGAGGCGTCTGGGCCAAGGCCCTGAAGGTCGATCGTCCTCTGCTGTGTAGTGTCTGCCTCCTGGGATTGCCTCCAACAGGACGCCTCACTCGGGAGGCTCTGGGAGAGCGTGGCCAGGAGGCCCCACGCCGCCACCTCATAGCTGGGCATCTGGGTGAGTCACCAAAACTCGCCAAGCCTCAGTTTCCCTCCCTAAGGGAACTCTGCCCTCCTGGCTTCACAGGGTGACACCCTGAGGAAGCACTGGTGATGTGGAAGAGGCAGTTATTTTTAACCACCCAGCCCAGCCCCTTGCTAGGAAGGAATCTCAGGAATGAAGCCTTAGCTCAGGGGAGTTCCCAGGCACACCATGTTGGGGCCTGGGGCCAGATGACAGCTGTCAGCCCATCAGCAGCATGCAGGACTTACTGGGCACCAATTATCACTGCCCAGGGCTGCTTCAAAGGCTGCCTGCTCAGACATACCCTCCCTAGTAAATGGCCCTCAAGAAGAGTCAGCATGCCCAGGAAGGGAGTGGCATCCTGGGTTGGAGCCCCTCTGGGCTGGGCACATGACACTGACCCCATCACCTGTGAGGCACCATCACTCACTGCCTCATCTAGCTTGCACAAGCCCTTAGGCAGATGCTGTTACCCCTGCTTGACAGAGAAGAAAACTCAGGCTTGCAGGGATGAACCACTTGTCCCATGTGCTGGTGGAGCTGGGATTTAAACCAAAATTC